CAGATTTTTTGACAAAAAATTTCAGAAAATTTTAATTGAAAACAAAAGTCTGTTAAGTCCACAAAATTTTCAAAACACATTTCAAGCACTTCCGGTTTTTCCATTGTTCAATAGGATTGTCTGTTTCTCTCGAAATCACACACAGAAAATAAAACTTTTAAGCATTTCAATTCACTCTTCTCCAAATGCAATTATTTTTACATACTTAAATATTTCACTCATAAGTTCATACTTTTGTATTTATTAATTCTCAAATTTATACATATGTACATACATAACATACATGTGTAAGTAATTTCCGTTTAAGAAATTCAAACGTCACGATTATTTAACACCATTCTACACGATTGCAATATATTCATTATATTGTATATATGTACATATGTATTTAAATAAGTGAGCACATAAGTGAGGAAGACGTTGTTGTTATGACACTTAAATTCATTCCGTAACTGTTAAATGCAATGAATAGCTCGTAGCGAATGATAGCGTCCGAGTTGGGGCGGAATTCAGCCAAGCGGCCAGCCAGCTAGTCAGCCATCAGCTATCAGCCAGCCAAGTCAATGTGTTCCACGTTACTGCAACAACTGAATTTTACTGAATGAAATTGTGTCTTTTCCTTTCATTCAATTTTATTCTTTGTACTTCGTTTGTGCTCTTCTCAATATATTTCTCTCTTTTCCCATTACCGCCGTTTTTGTGCCTTAACTTTATGCTTGAACTCTCATCGCAGCAGAGTCTCTGCACACGGAGTACATGCAAACAAACACATGCACATACATACCGTCATGCATTTGTAGTTGCCTTACAAATATTTAACTTGATGTTGTTTGTTTCTTTTTTCAAGCGGACGCCACACCATTTTTCAACGCAAGTGATCAACTCTCCCAGCACTCAATTTAACCTCTCTCCTCACATCTTTGCACATTCATTTGTCTCAAAGACGCACGTAACTTTTATCTCCTCAAGTCGGATACTCTATCATGCAGGCACGACAAAGAGAGAGAGAGATAGAGAGAGAGAGAGAGGGAAAGAGAGAGAAAGAGAGAGAGATGTCTCAGAGTCAGGCTTTATTTATACAAGCAGTGAAATTGGTTTGTGACGTATGCAAGTTCGGGTAATCGGTTTTTTTTAAATAGCCTATGTTCTTGCGGTTGTATGAAGACGTGTAAAGAATTCACGAACCCATATAGTAATCGAATTTTTAATATAATATCTAAATACAAAACAATTAATTCAAATCAAGCGAAAATTAATATAAATGAAATTAAGCAAAAATCAAACCAAATTATATAAAACAAAGAGAAATTCAACCAAAGAATTCAGTTTAAAAAATTAAAAGTAAATAGAAAAATTAAAAATAAAATAAGCTAACCTGAAGAGAAATTCAAGTTTTAATAGAAAAGTAAAATAAAATAATTAAAATAAACTAAATTAAAATAAAACAAAATAAAAACAAACAAAACTAAATATAAATAAATAATTTAAATAAGTAATTAAAAATAATTAAAATAATATTAAATAATGTTATTACATCAATTAAATCAAAAAATTCAGTTATAATAAAAAAATAAAACAAATTAAAAAGAAATAGAAAAATGTGATGAAATAAAATTAACTGGACTAAACTACAATATACATAAATAAATAAAATATAATAAAATACACAACAAAATTTAAATATTGATAAGGTTGGTTTTATGATACTTAAAAAAATTATTAAGCTCTTAGATACTTAGTTATAGAAATATGTATGATCTATTTGCGTCAACAATCATCTAGAAATCTCAATGTCACATAGCTGGAACATTTTCCATACATTGCTTGTTATAAGAAGCAGCAACCAAGAGCAAAGAAGAATTCCAAAATAACGGTTAAATAAATAATGGATCGAGTTATTGAACGGGAACTTGACAGCTAGCGGTCAGGCGAATGGACGATTGCAAAATAAAATGTAAACATTCCAATATTTCACATACACTCACAAACACACCATTTTGCCACAGCGAACACTTCATCTCTCAAATGTTTACACCACGTACTTCTCTCTTGCTTTCTCCTTGCTCTTCAGGCGCCCGCTCGATGTTTTGTGTTTTATATTGTCGATGATGATGGTTGTGGTAGTGCATAGCCTTCGACGTTGTAACCGTTTTACTTAAGAAATTCATTTCTGAAGTTACAAAACCGCATTCCACCGACTCTTGACTGCCACCGAGTATATGTTTGTACATACTACATATATATGTTATGTATGTATGCATTATGGTTCTATATGTTGGAGCATTTTATGAATTAATAGCTGAAAAGCTTCAATTGTATGTATGTATGTATGTATGTATGTACGTACGTTTGTTTCTTCTGTTGGTTTCTATATTATTTTTTTTCTTAGTTGTAATTGCTCACAATATCAACGCTTGACGTTGCTAAGCTTACATAGCATATAATTTATGAACATTTTCAAGTGGTGACGATGTTGTCGTAAGCATTTTGGAATTTTGTATTTGTAATCATATTTTTACACTCTGTTGTAAAGCATTTCGCATTTAATAGTACCTTCAGTCGCACAAATACTCATATGTATACATATATATATATGTAAAAATATGCGCAGGTATTTTTTAATTTTTTTCTATTTGTTTTTTTTTTTTTTTTTGTGAAACAAACAGCGGAATTTTTCATTGAGTTTAAAAAAAAAGTAATAAAAAATTTAAAAAATTTATATTATTTATTTTTAAATTCTTACAAAGTCAAAGTAAAATCAACTTTATGTAGGACTGATTGCGTGTCATAGACGCATTTGTTTCTTATTATAATATAATTGTATGTACACTCTTGGTATTGTTTTAACATGGAGGACAGCAAAGGCATTATGCATAGGCATAGATACCACACAATATGTAAATATGTATGTATGTATATATGGTTATCAATAAACTAAAAAAAAAAAATTAAATTTAAAATTGTTACAAGAAATTTTGAAACATCTTTGACTAAAAAAATTAAATATATTGTAACATATGGTTAAGAAAAGTACTCATATGCCTCACCCTCAAGTGCTCAAAGATATTCATTCAGTTTTTACCTAGTTTAAAAAGAACGCCTGAAACTATGCTAATAACATAAAATCATAAAATTGTATTATACAATTTAATATTTGATTAAAATTACAAATTACTTCATATTTCAGGAAAGACCAAGTACAGAATAACCTAGCTGTATTTGATATTCCCAGTCGGCATCAAATAGAGGAAAGAAGGAATGAATGGCACGATGTTATAAATTCGGCTAAAATTTCGTAAGCAGAGTCTACGCCAATAAAGTAAGTAAGTAAATTTAGTGGAAACAGATTCGGGTGTTTCCAAGCAAATAGATCAAAACCAAAGGCTCTGTCAGCTTTTCTACGGGTATGATGTAATTATGCTAAGCAAATGTCAACATAAAAATTTGAATGAAATGTATTAAGTATGTATATACATATATAAATATTTCACTTATATTAAACATTGATAGTTTATTTTTTTATCACAACACTTCAAGTATTATTATGTTATCTTGAAAGAGAATTCTACGCAAAATATATATACATATATAAAATACATGTACATATATACATATGTATGTATAGATATGTATGTACGTCAATAGACTTAACTGACAGTAATCGCATTTCTTAAGTACCTGTGGCGCCATCAAGAAAATATTTCTATACCCTAGTATAAGTATGAGTTTATATACAAACATTTAAATATAAGCTCACACATATTTAGTAGATAGGAATGTAAGCATGTTGGTAATAAAAATAATTGGCAAAACACGGTATTTTCACCAGAAATCTTATCTGCACGTTTTTCGTTTAGCGGTTTGGATTCAATTGTCAAGTGACCGACCGTTTTGCCACGCAACAAAAGTCAAAAGCGTTTCTCATGTGACAAGAATGTTATAAATTTTCGAGCGACTATGGATTTCGGGTGTGATTGGTTTGTTGTAATGTTTTTCTTTTTTGTGCGTGTATTTGGTCAGATGAGCTATGAATAGCTATTTCTACGCTATTTCTTGTTTTTTTTCTGCATTAGCACTTCGCTGACTCATGTGATATTCGCGAATTATATGTATATGTTTGTCCGCTTGTATGTACATACATAAGTATTTGGAATGCTCAAAGTAGAAGTAAGCCGCATAGAATAACTTAACCACAACACAAATCAAAATAAAATATTATATAATAAAATAAAATTGAATTAAAAAAAAATGAAATAAAACAAAATATAATAAAATAATATAAAATAAATTATAATAAATAAACAAGAAATAAATAAAATAAAACATATTAAAATAAAATGAAATGAACGAAAAAAAATAAAAGAAAATAAAAAAAAAACAAAATAAAAAAAAAAAATAAATAAAAAAAAATAATTAAAAGAATATAAAATAATAGAAACAAATTACAATAAAATAATATGAAATAAAACAAAATAAATAACTAAATGAAATAAAATTAAAAAATTAATTAAAATAAACTAAACAAAAATATGTGAAAATAATAAAAATTAAACTAATTAAGTAAAATAAATTAAAGCTAAATAAAATAAACAAACAAACAAAACAAAAACAACCATATTAAGATAAAATAGTAATAAAAATACAATAAAATAATTAAATTAAAATAAGTCAAAATCGACATTATTTTCATTAAATTAAACAATTTCGTATTAGATAAAAATAAAGAAAATAAAAAAAAGTTTTATTTATTTTTTTTATTGGATAAAAATTAATTACACTTACACATAGTAAAATAAATTATGAAAAATATATGTATAGTCAAACGAATAAATTAACATGACATCAAATAAAACAATATTAATTAAATTTAAGTAAAATATAATGAAACACTACAAACATTATAAAAGAAAATAATTCAAATAAATTACAACGAAATACAGTGAATAAAATATAATCGATTAAGCTAAAACAAAGTTAAATAAATTAAATTAAGAAAATTAAATTCAATTAATCAAAAAGAAAAAAATAGGTAAATAGGTAGGTATATTGAACTGAACTCGAACTGTATATTTGGACGTACATACTTGTATATGTATGTTTGCAAGTTGTAAGTGAAACTGTATGAAAAGTGTCTAAAAATCACTAATGACTCGCTCAACTTCATTAGATTAAAGAATAGTTAAGCATTTTAATGAATGAAAGACTTTTTAAATACAATCAACCATATTCACATGATTATCGACACTTTGATACATATATGTATATAATGGAGATTTTTTTAAATACCATTAATGATTGAAAATAAACCGTTAGTATTTTTTAAACTCCCCTAACGTTACTAACCTTTTTAACTAAAAATACTCTTAACGATGAAGGCACACAGCTCAAAGTACAGAGCCAAGAGCGGTCGCTCATGTTGCATGGAAACATACCCTCATAACATATACATATGTATATGCTCAACTCAGGCGGAATTAGTTGAAGAAGTTATTAAGGCAATTATGCCATCTGCAATTTTATGCATGACAGCTCTGTTGTGAACAAAAGCACGTAGAAATACATAAACCTGCTATCAAGTGCATATAAATATTTATACATACATATATATATGTATGAAAATTCAATAACCTACTACAAATGAATCGAAATATTTACTATTATAATTACGTTTTTGTTTTATTAACCATTTATATTAATCAGCATACTGAATTTAAAGTGACAATATGTATATTGGGTTTGTACCGAAACAAACAGCGAATATCAAATATATTTTTTTGGACCACACTGCGTATACGTAACCTATTTGTAGTTCCTTTTAATATTTAGTGAAATTATTACGGATTTTTTATGAAGACACTATGAAGAAAAATCATCGCCATATAATATTTGAGTTCCGTTTCATATAATCAACCCTATCACAGTCTCTACATACAAATAATTACAACCACTTAGAACAACAGCAATAACCAGCTAACAGCAATGGAAAAATGGCACTTAATGCAGCGAATAATCGTGCACAATAACCAAACAAGGTCTGAGAATTTTATCTAACAGCAAATCGCACAACAATAGCGGCAACAAAAACGAAGCGGCGTAAAATCAGATGCAACCAAGCGCACAGTGCACAGTGCAAATATCTCAAACATACATCTATACAAAAACCTACAAGTGTATGTGTGAGTGTGTGTGTGTGTGTGTGTGTTGGTAAATGTAGCGGATGCGAATTGTGAATTGCCGATGACGTTGGTGTTGTTGCCGATGATGATAGCAATGCCAGCGGTGACGTCGTCAATGCACACAATGCAATTGCTGATTGTTTATGTGTTTGCTATTGTGCTCGTGACGATGATTGGCGCTGATGACGGCAATAACAGCACAAAAGATGATGACAGTGTGCACTTTGCATTGCCTATATTTGTAATTACTTTCACAACTATTTGCTTAATCCTTATAGATAATATACGAAATGTAAATAAGCTGAAATATTCTCCCAACAACTTTGTGCAGAATGTACAAAACTAGTAGGAATTAAACAAAATAAAACAATGTAAAATAAAAAAGCGAAATTTCATTAAATAAAATAATATTAAATAATAATTGATACAATTAAGGCCAAATAATATACAAAAAGTGCATTGAAGTATCATTCAAATACTTCAATCGGTAGATATCGATAGTGAAGGGCGTTATTTTTCAAAGAAATTTCTAAAAAGAATCAAAATGTAGCTATTTCTAGGAGTATTACATGCGTACTCTACGTATATTTATAGTTAAAAAAAAACAATGAGCGCAAAATACCTTGAGAAGCTGGTGTTCCTTAGAAATTCTTTTCTCTCCTTAATTAAATATTTCTGAGTGACCTTTTCCCTGGAAACGACTAGAACAAAGGTGGATACTCCTGCAAGAGAAAAATTTTAATACAATATTTATTAATAATAATATATTTTAGCTTAAGTTAAGTAGTTTATCAAACGTAAAAAATATTTTTAATTATTACTATGCTATGTATATGTTATTATACATATATATTCTAAAAAGTATTGCAAGTAGTTTGTACAATTCTTATATGCAACTCCATCTACTAGACAGTATTTTTGAATGAATCTAAAAGTTATTAAGGTTATATTAATTCTATTATCAATTTTTTTTTTAAATTTTTTTTATTTATTCCACGTTTTGCCCACTGTGCGGGGTTGTCAGACGTCTCCAGCAGACGGAAATCGCGTAGGTGACTGCTCGATACAGATACTAGTCTGTCTGCTGCTTACATACAGATATGTAACCAGCAAAAGTGTGGGTATATAATTGCTAAATGCGAGCATGTATTAGTTCGATAGTGAATGAACGAAGGTTTCTATAATAAAAATTTCAACACATACAAAGCAATGGCTCACTCAATTATGTATGTAAATACATACATACATATATAGTTTAACTATAGTTAAATAAAATAAATATATTTATTATGCATAGTAATCACTGCCACCAACAAATGCAACAACAGCAACAAAATTCACAGACACAATTGACTAACTAAATATGTATGTGTCAAAGTTTTAGCATACAAATATGTTTGCTTTATATACATATTAATGTGTATGCCGAGTTAAAGCTAGGTTCAATGAACTCGCGTGCTTTTCATTCATAAAAATTTTTACACGATTCCATAATTCGCTTTCACAATATTGTATGTTCGTGTATGCATGCGTATGTGCAGTTTTGTTTGTATATGATTGTGTTTGCAGACACGTACAGGCATACATATGTACATATGTATATATGGGTCTTTAAATATGCATGTATGTATATGCAAGTGTTGCTATTCTATATACGACTTCATAGCTGCTCTCATAAGCTGCTTCATATTGGACTACATATATAGTCGTTTGTATATAACAATACTCGTATGTATTATATTTTTCTGAGTGCCTGTGCTTCCATGGGTATGTCCGTGCTTTCGTTGCTACTGTTTTCTATCGCACCAATTACTTTTAACTGCTTTCACTGACATCATCAGCAAATTTGAATGTGTGCACAAATGCATAAATGCACACACATAGTACGTAGACGCATGCAGTTGAACTACTTATTAAATCAGCAGCTGATTTCACAGCTGATGCAAGTACCTGACGTACAAGAGAATAAACTCATAGAATATATATATATATATATATATATATATATGTATGTATGAGTATGTACGAAAATAAATTTAAATGCGCATTCAGTGCATGCACTAATTTAACGGTATATTGTTTATCTTTATGCACCACCACCACCTGCCGGGAGGTTAATTACGACAACCGACATCAGATCAATGCATCCGGCGGTCGGTGGTCTCTTCCCTTCTACATTAATCACTTATTTCTCCTCATTTGGTTTTGAAGTTTTCGAAGAAAAATAAAGTACAATCATAACAACAGCAAACAGCATGACTATGAATTCTAATCAAAAAGTGAAATTCTTTGATCTGTGGCAGGTGTCGATAAATTATATGAAATTAAAACAGTTAGTAGGGCTCCCCGGCTAGAATGGCTGTTGCCAGAATGGCTTTTAGTTACAAAGGCGCCCTATATAAATAATAATATTTAGACTTCAGCCTACTGTATTTTGCCGATTTTCTCTTCAGCAATCATTGTCTTCAGTTTTGAAAATATACACTTACAAAAATAAATTACAGAAAAGAAAAACATTAAAATAATGTCTAGTTTTGAAAAAACATAATGCAATTCCATACATCTTTATTATTAAAAAATTTCCAGCCGGTGATTAACATAACCTGATTGTAAAGTAGAATAAAGTAGAGGAAAGGGACTGGAGTATTTCTTAGTTACCTCTGTTCAGCTTTAATAAACAACCCCGGAAGGGTTTGTACTTTCTGCCGAAGGACAGCTGCGGCTTGACAATATTTTGGGGTATTGGTCTGGCAGAAATTCGAACCCGTCTATTAGAATACTGTTATTTATATGTATATGTATATAATTGATGCTTCCTAAATACTGAGTCTTTTCCAACAAATGAAGGAAACTGCAGTTTACATTGAACCGCTGCCGAACGGTCCATCGTCTCTTAGAAAGGGTTTGACATTCCCTGCCGAGGGGTCACCGCAATCAGAAAATTTAACTCACTTTTTATTTAAATTTATTTCCCTTCATTTTTGGATGTTGCCAGGAGCAGGACTTGAGCTTTGGCCTTCCAAATGTCAGTACGCAATGTTGTTTGGCTATTGCGACCGCCTGCGAATACTGTTATACATTTCTATATTTATTATATATTTTTTACTTAAACAGATGAAAATTTATATTAAAAAAATGCTATTAGTAGTCCTTTGTAGCAACTGTTAAACTAAAATGAAAAAAAAAAATTATAACATTTTTTGGCTAATAAAAAATAATTAAAAAATTTAAGAACAATAAAAAATAAGAAGAAAAATAGATCAGAATTAACCAGCAGTACTCCACGACTGAGTTTCTCATCCCCCACAAATTCGACACTAAATGTCACAAGGACTTACTCGCTTCCGTAATTGTCCCGTCCATCGCACTTCTTGGACGGTGGTGATGGAAACCTATATTCCTATGAGGATATCAAGCAGGTGGGCAGCGGCACATTCCTAGTGCGGACATTCCAAGTGCATGCTCTCAAATCGTGATACATAATTCGTTTGCGGGGTCGGCATCAAAAGGGAGTATCTTATCAGAGGCGTATTAAAGTTTTCCAGCTGTAGCTGGTATGTATTTCGCGGGTCCCAACCCCAGCGCATAATCTCGCTAGGCGAGTAAGTGTAAAGCTTTTACACATTTATAGAGCGAGCCGCTTGCTTCAAGACCGTCGCCTGCTCGCAGTTGTACCTCTGGTGGACAGACGCTTTCTTCGAACAACCCCACATTTCATTAACGTTAAAAATTTCCCTTCACTCTTCATGAAAGTAAATAAGCCAACTGCATATTAGTTGCAGCACTTTCCAAATATTTGTATCATGCTTATGTACATATGTATGTAAGTATGTTTTCATATGCATTTTTGCTTGTTGTTTGTTTGTATATACATATGTAAATGAAAATGGAAAATTGAATTCATTTAACTTTTTCCGCTTCGTACGTACATATGTATATATGAATTTATCTTTCACTCTTGTCCGCATTCTTTAGACAAATAGAATGCAAACAATAAATATTTAGTGCATGTACATATGTATGTATGATTGTGTGCTTGTGTTTGTATGTATTTAGCCGTGCAATGACATTTATATATTCACATGCACATACATGTATTTACCAACAAATGGTGACAGAGTTGCATTGTTGATGTTGTTACTCTTCGATTGCAACTGCTCTTTATCACATTTATTTAAAGAGCATTTAAGTGCTCAAGTACTCAGACTCTAAGCTCATACATACATAGAAAGATAACGCATATACTGCACTCATACACATACATATACAGTTAATGGTAATATGCATATGTGCGCATCATACATAAAGTAGCAATAATAACAACAAAAAATAATGAGAGCAGTAATTTGTGTGCTGTGTATATGTGTTTGAATGTACATACATGCTTACATATACATACATATGTAAGTGGCGCTAGGGGGATTACAGACTCATTCAGCACTTTTGACTTTATGTTTTTGTTTTTGTTGCGGGCGCTTTGCGGTCACTTATACTTGTATACAAACATACACAACATACGAGGTATTCTTATGTATGTTCAAACGAAAAGGTGAATTTTGAATTTTGAATTTTTGCGGGATGTGTACATTCGAGTATGGGAATTTTTTATGTTGGTATAAACATATACATATATATATTTATGTTTAGAATATGTTGACAACTGAAAGGTTAGTCAAGTTTTTTTAGTAAAATAGTATTGTTCAAGAGTTATTAAATGACGTCAGTGACGATCTAAGCTTGCCCAAAAGGGTCATAACCGATTACGAGACGTGGATATTTGGTTTTGACGTCGAAACCAAAGCCTAGAAGCGGTCAACTGAACCAAGACCGAAAATTCAAAATTTGATCATTACTTTTGAACAGACCTCGTACTTGCATATGCAAATGTATTTGAATATAAGCAGAGATGCATTTAAGAAAATGCTTTCATTCATAAAAATGAACAAACACCCACACACACATATACATATGAATGTAGGTATAAATATAAAAAAACGAAAGCACACCCATACAAACTATTTAATTGATAAATATATTCACAGAAATGTACTCGTATGTACGTATATACATACATATGTATGTATGTATTTGCTAAAAAATGCATAATCATGCATGCAGATATTCATACATCCACATTTATATTGCATTGCATTCATTTAAACATACATACATTTACATTTATATTGAATGCACTTACATATACATACATACATACTACGCCGACGTCAAACAAATACCGTAAATGAATCTCCGACTGCATGAGGCCAAGTAGCGTCTGAACTCATTAACTGTTTGCCATTCACCACTACATAAACCATCATCCTCCTTCACTTTTCTCCCTCCCTCACGCGATTATGACCACACACACTCTTAGCTTTGTGTGGAGGCAGTCGAGAGATCTCTTTGACTATACTCGTAATGTGACTATTGTGTGGCGCATCAAAAACGATCTAATCAAGCATTACATTGTCTTTTTATTGTTCTTGTTGTTGTTGTTGTTATTAGCGCCTGCGCTTCCACCAGTCACCTCCCATTGGCTGTGGGCTTTTATATATGTAAGTATGTAAGTTATATGGCTGTGCTTCTTTAATTGAGCTGCGCCATGCACTCACCACATCATACATACATACATACGAGTATGTACGTGCATTCATAAATTCATATTATATGAACGCTTGTATGTGTAATTGCTCCAGACGATCCTAAATCTACGACGTAGAAATGATACATAGATATGTACATATGTATTTCAAAAATCAAATGTCTGACGCTCCACAAAAAGTGTGAATTTCCTAAAGTCCGAAGTAAAAAAAGAAAATTTTATATCTTCTCACAGGCGGGGTCGGTAAATAATTGTTTTAAGTTTACTGATAACTGAACTTTGGACATCACTATGAGAAAGCATTTTTTGGTATCCCATCCGGAGAAATGTGATTAAAAAAATGAGTCTCCTGAAAGCTCTTTGTCCTTTAGTCCATCAGGGATAGACTAAGTTTATATGTCTACATATCTTCTAAGAAATACTGTGATAGAAATCACACTCTTAAGATAGATTCGATACAGTCATAATTGTTAGTTCTAGTAGAGTACTATTTAAGGAAGTATCACATAGAAAAAAATCCAATACGCAGGACTCCAATGCATTAAATTGTAACCTTCCACCCACCTTCTCGTCAAATAGCAGAGCTAGTAGTTATTAAATATCAAACTTTAGTTCACTTTAAAGCAGAACAGTTGCGTAGTGAATGAAGGATCGTCCCTTCATTGTTGTGACAACTCCTTTATATAGCCCATAGAGTATCCATTATAGCAAATGGATTGTTTGTTTAAACTAATTTCTTTGGGAATTCGTCTGCAGACGCCCTAAGCTAAATTTCCACGGGCTCATTTCTTCTGCAAAACTGTGAAAAACAGTTTTTCACAGTGTAGCTTCTTTATCGTATTAGAATATAGAGGTCGGGTGTGCATCTCTTCAAGGGTGAAGGAAGTCCTTTCAAATTCACTAAGCCATCAACATCTTTCGCCTTGGAAAGGGGCAATCGCCCAGCATATGAACTCGAGTATTGAACTTAACACGACCAAAGTATTCATCAGTAGATCTTCAAATTCCTTACATACACGGAGTGGATTGGAGTGCTTTTTAATGCTGTCGTAAACGGGTGAACCCGAACTATCGATAAAGTTCATGATGCTCTAATCAATAATATCTTCTGTAATACCCAAATATTTATTTTAGTGTCAAATCTCCCGTACTAAATTCCTTAGTTATATTGTGATATTGTGATATGTATTTATATACACCTATTGCATATACTCGCATATAAATACTACCGCTCCAAGTCACTCGCCCACCAAAAGAAAATAATTGCAGACACGCGCGTTCGGCCGTCGCCGCCTTTTTCGCCTTTCGTTTTTTAGTCAAATCGTTTTAATTTTGGCTTTTGTTTCACAGCGTGTTGACATTCCGCCCATTTTTCAATTTTTCGGGCGTTTTCAGACATAAGTAGCCGCCAGTAGACAGTGACGGTGATGGTATTTGTGGACTTGTGGTCAAGTGGTGCAAAACGTTAGCGGCGGCAATGGTCTCGTCAATGACGTTTGTCCTAGTTTTTGGTACTATTCTGCTATTGCTTTGTGGGAAGCAGACAATAAATGCACGTACGAGTACACATATACATTTACACATTCATATACATATGTATGTACATACTCGTAGCTGCCAATGTAGCCAACAAAAGCGCAGACAAATTAAAGATGATACATTTTTATTCTTAAAATATCTAGCAAATGTGTGCGTACATTCAGAAGTATGTAAAAAGTTGTATAAAAACTCAACGCCCGAAATATCCATTTTAGCCATTACATGAGTTTAGATGCTATGGCAGATAAACAAAATAGAAAGTTGCTTGCAAATTCAAATTTAGATAAAAGAGTGGATTTTAACTATTTGAATGTTTTTTTTTTTTTGTGAATTTCTTATCTATAATAGTCAGTAAATGACTTTAGAAGGTAAAGGTTTTTAAAGCGCAGCTTTTTGCATATACATATATAATATGTAAGTATATATAAAACGCGATGAAGAGATTTCGCAGGGACAACTGTTCCAATTTGTGTTGTGCGCCTTGATGTTTTTCCAAATTATGGAGGGACTTACCTAAGTTTAGTCTAAGTTCGCACTTCATAGCAGAGACACACTCCGACGTCTGTAAATTCTCTGTAGAGAGTCTGGAATCCGAGCAATTGATCATCCGCATGTTTGCACGCACTTAATTGAATGAATATAATATTATAAAATGGATGGTTACGATACTGTAACTATCTTGGTTAAGTTAAAAATAATTTTAGAAAAAGTTGCAGGCAAATTTGTTCATTCAATCAAATCTAAAAAAAAATATTTTTTTTGTTGTGGAGATCAAAATCATGCGGTTTAAAAAACCTGAGAATTTTTGAAAGGGGTTGCGAGTTTGAATTTTTATTTTAGAGGAATTACTAAAATAATCATCTTAAAGACATTTTCATATACATATGTATGTATGGTACAGGAAAATATTTTCAATAAAATGGAAGCATGCATATTAAAATAATAAAAATATCATTGTAAAATATTTGTTGAGGAATTTTTGCCATCAAAATCACGAATATTTTATAATAAAAAAATCTTGGTTTAAATATTTATACATACACTAAATATATTTGTAAATATTGTTATATTATATTAAAATCTTTATGTGTGTGTTTTATAAATCTTCTCTGCTGGTATGAGTCACCCTAACTGATTTGAACTTCCTTCTTTCAAAAATTAATCCAGCCTTCATTTGATGGTCTGCATAAAAAGTGGCGAAATGTTGAAAAAATACCATAACAAACAATTTCTTTCACAACGTACTCTATACCACATACATAGGTATGAATCTATGTAAGTATATGTTTATGTATGTATTTGAGTATTTATGCACATGTTCCGTTATATAGTAAAGGGTCCAAATAAAGTAACGCATAAGTGTTTCATTCATACTTTTTTCGTAAACGCACACTCACATCGGCACGCAAAGCAAAAGGCCAATAATGCACAAGCAGACAGAAGCATACACATGCGCGTGTGTTTCTACAAGCATACTTATACAGTGCGGACGTGCAGTGTATGTAGTCTAAAAATACTTTTAACACCGGAAGTAGTGGCACACTCACCCAGCAAGTTGGAACAAATGGAACAGCATGAAAGCAGACGCAGCGCTGCGCAGCGGTGAAATGTTGGACGCGTATATTGACCCAAACTGCACTGAGGTGACGCTGACGCTTTCGGCGTTGGTGGCGGCGGTAGCGTCGGTGGCCGGCTAGTAGGAAGGCAAGCTGATAGGTGATGAAACAGCGTGTGGGCATTTCCAGCTTATCAGCAGAGCATAATATTCAATGTTTGTTTTCATTTTGGATTTTTTCACTTTTTACAGTTTTTTCCTTAATTTGTTGTTGCTGCTGTTTTTTCATTCATTCGTTCATTGCTTCATTCATGGTTTCATATTTGGTCGTCATTAGTGATTATTGGTGCTGTGTTGTTTCTTTCGACGTTTTGACTTATGGTGGCTGTGGTGTTGCTCTGTTGGTATGGGACGAGTCGAAGTCCAAGAAAACGGTGCCATCACGTTTTTTTTTTTTTTTTTTTTGAGTATACCGATATTTGTTTTGTCGATCAGAGCTAACAGATAAGCATGCACTAAAATGAAATGAATGCAATAAATATAAAAAAATATTAGAAAATACTAAATCGATAAGTATTTTTCATTAAATGGATCTTCTTCAAATACCATACTGTGACATAAATAAATGTCATTTATATTTAATATACCGCCACTGCGAGGCTTATCTTGTTTACCAACCCAATTTTTTACAATACATTTTTGTTTTTTGTTTACATATTTTATTATTTACATAATTTCCCCCATCCAGAAAGTACTCTTCTCAAATACATATTTCTTCACTTCATTCACCCTAAAAAATTAAAGACCGATATGTGAATGAACAACATACAGAATATACTGGTAGTAATAATTCATTGATAACCTATTGGGTTTCCGTAGGTATACATAGTCATATACATATAAGTATGTACTATACATGCTATCGAATGGAGAGAGACATGTTTTGTCGTAAACCATTTGTGGCAGGACAAGAGTTTTTATGACTTTATTGAAATGATTTTAATCCAGCCAATGTGAGTATTAGATGTGTTTGTACTAAAGAAATATTCGAAAAATATATTTTTTCAATTAAATTGAATTTAAAAAATTAATAAATTCAACATACATATGTACATATACATATATGTATGTGTTCATGCACATGATAATCTTTAGGGTAAGCTCATAGTAAATGTTTTTTTGTTAAGAAGTCTCTGAACCATTATCAAAAAAATATAAAGTTTCAAAAAAAAAAAATTGTTTAACAAAAAAATTGTAGGTTGCCACCCTATACAGAAAATAATTTGTGTTGCTCTAACTTAAGAGATTGAAAATTACTTACTGTAGAAAATACATTTGAGAACATTTGCCAGCCGTATAGGAGTACTTACATATACTTTTCGAGTCATTAATAAAAAATTAAATGCTATAAAATGGTCAGTAAACTAAAAGATTTACAGAATAGCAAATATTCAATTAAATCAAGCAAACCGGCCTCCAAAAAACATGCTTTTTTAAAAGTTTTACGGTAGAAAAGCTTGCAATATGAGTTTGATGTACAATGAAAATTAACCAGAGGTACTTAAGTGAACTTAACTAAGTAAGCTGAAAAAATTGGAATTGAAAAAATCAAAATCTAATTGATAGAAGTTTAATTTGTAGATTTCGAAAAAGAGAAAATAACAATAAAGGCTGAAGTTGTAAAAATCTCCGAATAGGGTTGCCGTTTATTTGTATTCTAATTGTTTTTGCAACCATGCTACAATATATAATAATTTTTGTTATAAGTATTAAGTAAACTAAAGGCCTGGTTTGTTTGTATGAATTGAATTTTTTTTTAGACAACAAAGAATTTTAATTTTCCACTCAAGTCTCCAGCATTCCACCCTAATGTACAAACATACACCCTCATACATACAAGCACAATTTCTGAGGCACCCAATAATCAGCCAGCGACCTACTCGCGCCGCTTTATCAATTGAGGCGGCGAAAAAATATGAAGTTATGAATGAATTAAACTATAAAAATATGTGTACACGCAAACACCTACATAAACTCATGCATACATACATATGTATGTGTACATATAGACCTACATTTATGCCGTATTTATGCTAGTAAACAGAAAAAAATAAATGTATGCACAAACAAGCACCAATAATCCAGTGGGCAATGGAATGATAGCAAAAACCGATCGCAGTGCACAACAAACAACAACAACACCGGCGACGACGACGGCGTTCGGTAATAAAATCGACAACGGAAGTGAACTCTGCCACCAAATGCGGTGATCTGCTGCAAGAGCAACAACAAGCAACAACAAGCAACAACAAGTAACAGGAACAACAGCGACAGCGACAAAATAGTATTTATACCAAACAACAAGAAGCATACAAAGAAACGAACGGGGGAAGACGCATTCACGTCGCTGCTGTGTTTACAGTTCACTGTGAAATGAGGCGCGAAAGGAAGTGGCCTTTTCCGCACCGTCCGTCCGTCGCCTTCGCATCGTAGCGGCGGCAGCAAGAGCAACAGCAACAGCAACTAAAACAGCGGACTGAAACGACTTGACTTGAATGGTGGGAAGCAAATGCGTCCCATGCGACTACATACACACATATAAATACAAATACATACACACTTTCACGCCTGCGGTTTGGCATTTAGCTGACGGTTACAAATTGAGTAAATGTGCGCAACAACAACAGCTACAATTACAACGCGCAACGCGCGACTAGAGGATTCTTCAGACGGTGTGTGCGTAGCCGGTAAGTGGTGAGTGTTGAGTGGTTGTCACAAATGAAAATGATGGCAGCTACAAGAGTAAACGTGGAGTTTATTAAAAATAAAAATAAAAACCCTGACATTAAGGTGGCAAAAAATTGTGTATCCACACCTTGATATTTTATGCATTTTTGGAAAATTATTATTATTTAATTTATAATGTATTTGTGGGAATATATGAAGGAAAAAAATTTGTGTTTCATTTGTTAGGTTTTATTAAAAAAAAACATTTATTACTTTTCTGTAATAAAAGTAAATATATTTATTTTTTTTTAATTTCTATATATTTTTAAATGGTCTTTGTATAATTTTATGCAAAAATTTAAAAGGTTTTGTTTAATGAATAGGTAGAAAGTTGTTTATTTTTATAAAAAGGTTTATAATTTTCTAAAGTGAAAAATATTTACATATTTATTATGTATTGATACATACATATATAAATATATTGATAGTATTTTGCTTTCTTTCTAGTAAAACATGTGGAATTGATTGTTTTTTTTTCAACAATGCCGTTTCGAAAGTATACGGAAATAAAATGCATTTCAAATTTTTTTCTTCTATGAAATTCCTTTCTTATTATAAAACTTGAACTTTGGCATTATATTTAAAATACGACATCATTCAAATGATCGCCTCACGAATTTTTGTAAACTTTGATGCGTTTGACGAAATATTCGTCTACTTCTTGGTTCATATTAGGCAGTATCTCAAAAGTTAGGGTTTGCCCGCATAAATAGCATACATACGTAATTTCGCGTAGCCCAAAAAAAAAGTCCAACGGCGTTTATGCCCGATCTCGATGACGTATTGACAAGGCCAAGGCTAGAAATTTTGCGGCCGGTTAATTACTCTCGCAATAAAGCGCTGTGAATGGTCAACGGGCTTCGGTTGTTGTTTGAGCTATGTTTTTTAGGGATACATAGATGGAAGTCCAAGAGCTATTTGGATCTTCAGCTACACTTCCACTTACAGTGGCGATATTTCAGATGGAGCAAGCAAAACGATGAAGCACAGGCCTGCTCTTAAGCGGCGAAATTTTTGGGGTAAATTGTTGAGCGATCCATTTTCATAGATGACTGAAATTTAACTAAAATAAAACATGTTTGGTTTTACATTTAAGTTTGACAGATGTCAAAATACAGCTCTGTACTTCTAAATCCATGAATTGGATTATCCTATATCACGTATGCACATATATTACAACAAAGTATTTGAACACACACATATATGTAGGCAATTGTAAATGGAATTCGTTGCAAATTACGTAATGCCGGAGTTCGAATAAAAATACAGCTGCAAAGCGAGTCTGGTAGTAAACAGTCCCACACAAGTACATGAACTGACATATACTTTATACATATGTAATACATACGTGCGTAAAAGTACTAATTTTTCCATTTCAATTAATGATATTACAGAAAAAGAACTGCAGCACAAATGAAGCAACAGTCGCTGTTTAAAAGGCAATGCAAGCCGCATAGGAAGTTGGGAAGTGGAAGTTCAAAGAAATTAAAATGGAAATGGAAATGGAAATGGAAATAGAAAGACAGATGCGAAGTGTAAGTATAAGAGTAGAGTGAAAATGTAAGTAAGCAGATGTAACATTCATTATACGAGGTCTGTTCAAAAGTAAAGGTGAAATTTTTGAACATTCAATTATGAGATTTTTTATTGTTGACCAATAAAAAGGTTCTGTTCTCTTCGACTTTAGACATGGACATTGATAATTAGTGTCGTTAAAGAGTTATGGAATGTCATCAACGATGATTCAGGTTGCCCCGTTAGGGTCATAACTGGTGACGCAACGCGGGTATATAATTTTGAGGTCGAAACCAAGTCGTTCCAATGGAAGCGGTCAGATGAGCCAAAACCGAAAAGCCGGACATCGAAGAACACACAAAAGCGTGTCAACAACAAACTACTAATCCAAATAGGATAATAAAGCCAACATATACTGAACATATAAGCATTTGTTGGAACATTTTTGAGCTGCTCGAGCATTGCGCAACGAGTACTTGCGCACTCGTTCATTGTTCGAGCGTTTTGAATAAAAACAAATTTTACTTTTTTCTTAGAACTTTCTGCTATGAATTTAATTTTATTTATGCAAAGTGTAAAACTCAGTGAAATAATGAAGAAATTTCGACACACAAAATTGAAATATGAAAGTTGAGCAACGAACGTGTATCGAGCTGCTCGCAGTGCTCGTTAGCCGGGTAGTCATCTAGAGCTCTAGTGAGTACCAACATAAAAAAATTCTATAATCTACTCAACACACACGCCAGTGAAAATTCAAAAATCAAAATTCACCTTTTCTTTTGAAGGGTCCTCGTATGCAAATACATGCATACATATCTTCACAATGTATCTTATGAGAGACAAAAATTTAGATGTAAGTACACACATATATATAATATGTATGTACATATTATACATTAGTCAACACTTATTTGAATTGAATTTAATTTTATTGGATTTATGTTTTTCTTGTTTTTCATTCATACACAGGAAGGAAGTTGCCTCAACATAACTACAACAAACAGCAGTAACAGTGCAACAATGCTATTTAGCTCGATATGGGAACAAATTGTCCATAAAAAGTACGGCAACAACAAGAGCAGTGAATGCTTTCCATTTATTCAAATACATACAGACAAACAAACATAAATCCATAAAGAAGCATACATTTATACATATGTACATACATACATACAATACATGTAAATATATAAGTGTGTAATTGGAATAACGA